GACACAGTGTCTGCTTCACAAGGAGCTCGGTGGCTCCCATCTCAGCTCTTCCTGGTACTACTGAGCCTCCATCCGGCTCCTGGCATGGGTCATGCAGCACTCAGGCTCTACTGTGGGCTTCATCCCTGCCCCTCCCCCCCCCCGCCCACTCCACAGCAATCCCCACGGGCACCCAGCTCTCAGCTCACCCTCACACTCCTCTCGGGAGCTGGGCACCAAGGCACTTTTCAGATCTCCTCCAAATGTCAAGGAGCCAAGAAGACTTGGCTTAGGGAGTGAGAAGGTTGTGGGTAGTGAGGAAATGTGACTTATCTCAGCCCTGCTTTGCCTACACGGGTGACAATGCCATTTCTACTCTGTGGCAGTTGTCCCTTGGTAACACAGGGGGCTTTGAAATGCTGTGTCTCCTCAGAGTTCTAGGAATGGAATGAAGCATAAGCCTCATCTGTCTACTGTTGTTTGGTGGTGAGCACAGAAAACAGAGCCCAAGGTGCATCTAAACCCTCTTTCCTCTTTTCTCAGTCTTTTCCAATTCTGCTCCAGGCTCAGAAAGGATTATACTTCTGTGTGGAGGGGAAACCCCCAGGCCCTTCACATTTCAACAGTTAATGGCATAAACTCTAAGTTTTAGGTTTGTCAAGTTCTGTCTCTTAATGTTTAAAAAAAAACCTGTGAAGGAAAAAAAAAATCCCTCTCAAGGACCCAGCCCTTACAATTTAAAAACTGGAGCCTCCAAGAGTATCTCCTCTGCAACACAGGAAACAACAGGAGTTGGCAAGGATGTGGAGAAAGGAGAACACTCTTACATTGTTGGTGGCAATGCAAACTGGTGCAGCCACTGTGGAAAACGATACAGAGGTTCCTCAAAAAGTTAAAAATAGAACTACCCTACGACCCAGCAATTGCACTACTAGGTATTTACCCAAAGGATACGAAAATACTTATTCAAAGGGAAACATGCACCCCAATGATAAATTTATAGCAGCATTATCCACAATAGCCAAATTATGGAAATTATTTCACTCATAGGTGGAATTTAAGAAACAAAACAAATGGGGGCGCCTGGGTGGCTCAGTTGGTTAGGCGTCCAACTTTGGCTCAGGTCACGATCTCACAGTTTGTGAGTTTAAGCCCTGCCTCGGGCTCTGTGCTGACAGCTCAGGGCCTGGATCCTGCTTTGGATTCTCTGTCTCCTTCTCTCTCTGCCTCTCCCCCACTTGTGCTCTGTCTCTCTCTGTCTCTCAAAAATAAATAAATGTAAAAAAAAAATTAAAAAAAAAAAAAACAACAAATGAACATGGGGAGGGGAAAGAGAGGTAAACCAAGAAATCGACTCTTAACTATAGAGAACAAACTGATGGTTATAGGAGGGGAGGTGGACAGGGCACAGGTTAAATGGGTGATGGGGATTATGACGAGCACTGGGTATTGTATGTAAGTGTTGAATCACTAAATTCTACATCCAAAACTAGTATTACACTGTATGTTAACTAACTGGAATTTAAATAAAAACTTGGAGGAAAAAGAAAACATCTCCTCTGGGATAGATTTGAAAAGATCTAGTTAAGAATTCAAAAGCCCAAGACTTTGACTCTGATCTTTCTGTGTCATCCCTGTGCAGAGGATGCTGCATCTAGAAAGCCTTGCTGCTGCTTAATGATGGGAGATAAATTCAGGGTAAAAGAAACGGAAAATGCATTGCTTGATATGAAAACATCTAGTTTTATCTTTTTATAACAAGGAATCACCTTCTCTCCCAAAATCTTTTCTGTCACTCATTAATATATTGCACAAATATATACTTGTCTGCTCTAGTAGGGAAAGACTAGGAACTGGATGTGCTCTCTACTTTCACAGAGTTCACGATCTAAGAGGGAACACAACCAATGGGCAGTGACCATCCCATAGAGTGCTGTCTGAAGGCCCCTGTCTCAGACTTGGAGACCCTGGGAGGTTTTCTGGAGGAAATGACACCTAGATTTAGACCTAAAGAGTAAATCCTCGGTGAATGGAAAAGGAAAAGTTTCCAACCAAATCGAATACCATGTTCAAAATCCTACAAATGCTGGAAAAACTCCCAATAGATTCCTTATGTCTAGGAGCGTCAAGTGAGAAGTGGTGAGCAAAGGGGACTGGAGAGGTAAGCAAGGTGTATAAACTCTGTTAAGAATTCTGGACTTTGGGGCGCCTGGGTGGCGCAGTCGGTTAAGTGTCCGACTTCAGCCAGGTCACGATCTCGCGGTCCGTGAGTTCGAGCCCCGCGTCAGGCTCTGGGCTGATGGCTCGGAGCCTGGAGCCTGTTTCCGATTCTGTGTCTCCCTCTCTCTCTGCCCCTCCCCCATTCATGCTCTGTCTCTCTCTGTCCCAAAAATAAATAAAAAAAACGTTGAAAAAAAAATTAAAAAAAAAAAAGAATTCTGGACTTTATCCCAAAGGCTTTGGGGAGCCACTGAAGGGTTTTCAGCAGAGGAGTGATCTGTCAGGTTGTTGTGTTAAAAAGATGCTCTGGAGGCGCCTGGGTGGCTGTCGGTTAAGCGTCAGACTTAGGCTCAGCTCACGGTCTCACGGTTTATGAGTTTGAGCCCCACTTCAGGCTCTGTGCTGACAGCTCAGCCTGCCTCTCTCTCTCTTTCTTTCTCTCTCTCCCTCTCTCTCTCTGCCCCTCTCCCGCTCACTCTCTCCCTTTCTTTCTCTCTCTCTCAAAAATAAATAAAAACATTAAAAATAAAAAATAAAAGACTGGCTACAGAGTGGCAGATAAGGTGGCCCAGGAAGAACACATAGAATGAGAAAAGGGCCTAGAAGAAAACAACACAATTAAGTGACGAGCAGAAAGGAACTCACAAAAGAAAAAAGGGAGAGAGACTACAGGGGTTGAAGGAAAACCAGGAGTGGGGCAATCCTAAACCAAAGGAAGAAAATTTCAAGAAGCAGGCGTAATGAGAGTCAACCACTGCCAAGAGGAACAGTAAGAAAGCAATTGGAAATTAACATCAGATTTAGCAAGTGGATTACTGAGGACCTTGTTTGAAAGCAGCTGCAGAGGAATAGAAATTATATTGCGTTGGACTAAATCAATTGCCTCAGCATTCATTGTCTCCTTCACTCACAATCTGTCTCTGCACTCGTGTCTTCCAAATGTGTATAAGTCTAGATCTCCACTTTGAGCCTCATAACAATCAACTACTCAGTATGTCCACTTGATTGTTTCAAAGGTATCTCAAACCTAGCAGGTTCCAAGACCTACACTCTCCCCACCCAAACCTGGTCTTCCTCCAGTGTGCCTCATCTCAGCAAATGGTACCTTTGGTCTTCCAGCTGCACAATCCTCCCACAACAAACCCTTTCCTCACCCTGTATCTAACCCATTGTCCCATCTTGTCAATTCTTTCTACCTATGTGTTCCTCTATCTCCACTGCCAACATTCAAGTTCAAGCTACCATTTTCTGTCTCATCTAAACCACAGTGGTAGCCTCCTCATTGGTTTCTCACATCAACTTGCACACCCCTCCAACCCATTCCCCACACAGCACCTGGAGTAATCTTTTTATATTTCTTTAAGTGTTTATTTATTTTTGAGAGACACAGAGAGAGAGAGGATGAGCAGAGGAAGGGAAAAGAGAGAAGGGGACAGAGAATCCAAAGTGGGCTCTGTGCTGGCAGCCGAGAGCCTGATGCAGGGCTCAAACTCACAAACCATGAGACCATGACCTGAGCCAAAGTTGGAGGCTTAACCATCTGAGCCACCCAAGCACCCTGGAGTAATCTTTTTAAAAACATAGTTGATCATTTCACTTTTTTGCTTCAAATCCTTCAATAGTTTTTTCCAGGGCTCCAAAGGTGAAAAACAAAATTCTTTAAATGACCTAGAAAGCCCTGCACGATCTAGCCCTTGCCTATTTTCCCAGCCAGCATTCACCACACATTCCCTCTTGCCCACCGTTTTCCCTCCCTTCTCTCCGTTTCTCACGTGCACCATGAGTCCTGCTGCTTCAGGCCTGGTGTCCACACACCGTGTCTCTGTAGCTAAGAACATGGTTCAAGTGTCAGACGTCTGGATTTAAGATCCCAGCTCTACCCCAGCCTGGTTAAATGACCCTGGGCAAGGCACTTCGTCTCTCAATGTCTCCATTTTCTCTTCTGTGAAATGAGATTAATACTTACTTGTCAGAGTTTTTACAAGAATGAAATGAAATGATATGTGGAAAGGGCTAAAAATATAGTCCCCAATTAGTGTTAGTTACCACTACTTGTTATCTCCCATTCTCAGCCTGGTTAACACTTCTCATATTTCAGATCTCAGCTCAAATGATGTGAGGGAGGTCTCCCTTGACACCCTCTCTCCAGCCAGGTTATGACTCTCTGTTAAATTCTCACCTAGCATCCTGAACTTTTAATTCATTATACTTTGTGATTATATATCTGAGGGGTTATTTTATTAATGTCTGTCAACCCTACCAGAATATAAGCTCCAAGAAGATAGAAATACCCATTTTACTCATCATTAGATCCCCACATCCCAGCACAGTACCTGGCACATAAGCTAGATACTTTGTTTGTTTGTTTGTTTGTTTGTTTGTTTGTTTGTTTTGAAAGAGAGAGAGAGCACGCACACGCAAATGGGGGAAGGGCAGAGAGAGAGGGAGAAAGAATCCCAAGCAGGCTCCACACTATTGTGCAGAGCCCGATGCAGGGCTCAATGCGGGACTCAAACTCAGGAACTATAAGATCATGACCTGAGCTGAAATCAAGAGTTGGATACTTAACTGACTGAGCCACCCAGGTGCCCCACACCAGATGGTTTTTAAATAAATGTTTGATTAAAGGGGAGGCAAGGTAGTGGAGCCAATGTGTTCAAATCATTCAAGAAGATTGTGATCATAAAAAGTAAGGGCAAGACATGGAGGAGGACCAGGGTTTGTCACTTACTTTTTAAGCTGGCAGATACTTGAGCATGTTCAAATGCTAATGGGAAGGAGCGAGAAGAGAGGGAACTTACCAGAATGACTGGGAGCCATGAGACTGCAGGAGGGGATAGCACTTAGTGCAGGAGCCAGAAGAATCATTCTCAGATAGGAGAGACACATCTTCCATGCTACCGGAATGAAAGAAGAAAATTCAGCTACATCTGTAGACTTGGTGGCAGGAAGTGCTACCAAGACCTTTCTATGAATTTTGGTAACACAAGCAGCAAATCTGGATTCTCCAAAAAGCTCAGCATACTTGGTGGATTTCATTCCATGCACTTTTGCAACTCATGTAAAAAGGAAGCAGGTGGGTTGGTTTTTTTTTCCTTCATCAATGACTACACTGATACACTACAGAGCAAAATGACAAGTCTCCAGAGCAACTGAGAGCAACGATCTCAGCGTTTTCTTTATTGAGCATGCTTCCTCAATATTGGGAAACAGTATGGGAAAATGATAATGTTATAAAATAATAATGGCTGACACTGGTTGAGGGCTACTATGTGCCAGGTGCTATTCTAGTACTTTATCTACAATAACTCATTTGATCCCCACCTTATGATACCATTCTGCAGGTAAGGAAACTGAATTCCAGAGAGGTTAAGTAACTTGCCCAAGGTCATCAGCAAGTAGGTGGCAAAACTACTTTCAAACCCAAAGTCTGACTCCAAACTTGATGCTTTTTTTTTTTTTTTTTTTTTTTTTTTGAGAAAGAGAGAGAGCAGAGGAGGGGGCAGAGGGAGAGAGAGAGAATCTTAAGCAGGCTCCATGCTCAGCACAGAGCCCAATGAAGGGCTTGATCCCATGGCCTCGGGGTCATGACCTGAGCTGAAATCAAGAGTCAGATGCTCAACCCACTGAGTCACCCAGGCACCCCCAAAATTGATGCTTTTAACCACTCTACTCTCACTAGCAGAAGGGAAAGAACATACTAGGAATCAGAAACTCTGATGTCTCCACCATGAACTAACTCTGAACTTGGGCATTCATTTGCTCATCAACAAAATGAGAATGATAGTGTTTACCTTTATAATGCTTTTTAAAGGATTATGAAATGCTGAAAATGGGAAATACTATACAAAAGATCTTATGAGTATACTGATCATAAGACTTAATATCCTTGTCTTCTAATTGGGTCACAAGCCAATAGCCGTTGTTGAGACCCTTGGTTCCCATACCAGTACAGCAGCAGCAGTTTGGGTGTTCTGGTGTCTTTGGCAGATCAGCTGATTCTCATCCCATCAGCTTTAACATCCCTGGCCAGGTCTCCTTGATGACCCCTTCCCCCCGAACACACACCTACCCTTGGGAACAGTTGCAGCTTATGCTCTCACTTCTTTGATTCCATTGGCCAAAGGAGTGACTGTTAAAAAAAATAAGCAGTAAATAGCCTGAATGGCAGCTACTCGTGAGGTACACCCCAGAAGGTCAAGTTCCACTTTGGTGGTAGAACCACTGTTCCAGTTTAGTGGTGGAATCAGACTATCAGAGCTAGAAAAGAACTTCAAGGTCATGTTTTAGTGCAACTCCCTGACACCCCTCCTTACCCATTTTATACTAGGAAAACCAAGGTCAGGTAGGCGAGGTGATACAACCAGATGGGATTGGTAGCAGCACTTTTTTGTCCTTGAAAATGTTTTCAAATAATTTTAAAGCAAATAATTTCACCTTGCCAAAATCATAACTGGAAAGTACTTCAATCACTTATAAATTTGTTTTGGTACATGTACCTTTTCAGAGAGGAGCAAAATCCTAAAATTCCATTAACCATAAATAAATAAAACCTTAAACCCAATAACTCACGTGAAGCCCATACTTCCCATTGCCCTTACTTGGTCATTTCAGGCATTTCCCAGGCGGAAACAGGCCCACATCTTCAGAGACAGCATATTCTGACAGTTAAATTCTCATTGCTCTGCACAAAGCCCAATCTATTATTACTAGTTCATCTCTGAGCTTAGTTTCCTAGTCTGGAAGAACAGTACCCACCTCCTAGAGCTGGAGTGGGGGGTGGGGGTGGGGGGTGTCACATGAGATAATGCACTTTTAGCACCCAGCTAGCACTCTATAACTTTATTATTATTTGAGCATAATTCTTTTCTCTCTCAAGCAGATAGTTCACCTTGCTTAATGACCTTAGACCTTCGACCACTCAGATGCTACTAAACCAAGGAGAAACCCAGCTGTGCCAGGCCTAGAAATGTCCATCCCCACCCCCACTCCCTTTTAAGACAGTGAGTAGGCCGGAATTCTCCTGGTTGATAAATGAGAGGAGCCGAGAAGGAGCAGAGAGAAGCTGCAGTGATGACTATTCTGAGAATCTGATCTGCGAGCAGGCGAATCTCCACCACATACACCATGGAGACGCTTTGGGAAAGAGAGCCGGCCTACCTGCCTGAAGAAGGATGCTCGAGAAAGGGGATGGACGACAGAATTGCTTAAAGGGAGATGAACTGGAGGTGCCCAAAGAGGAAATTTTGAAAAGGAAAACAGAGGCTGAATTTTGGGAAACCTGAGCGGTGAGTGTCATTAAAGGAAGGATTGCGTGTCTCGGGGAGACAGATTTTGGAGGAAACGAGGAGTAGGGACAAAGGTGGGGGTCCTCGAGCTGCGGAGCCCGAGCCGCACAAGCTGTGGGGGATTTCCAGATGGCCCAGCGGTGACCGGAAGCCGACATTATGGGGGGCACCCACAGGGAAGGTGGCGGGGTCGGGAGCCGGCCGCACAGAAGCCGCCGCGTTCGCCCCGGGGAAGGTCAGCGACCCCCGGCCAGGGGACTGTGCGGAGGACTGAGAGGGGCCGCGGTTGCCATGGCGCCGGGCGGGGAGGGGGTGATTCGGGCCCCGCCCCGAGCCCCGCGGGGCCACCGGCTCCAGATGGTCCCGGGCCTCCCGCGGGAGCCGGCGGCCTGCGGCAGGGGGAGGCTATTGTCCTCCTTCCGCGGCGCCGCAGTCCCGCCGCTCGCGCCCGCGCGCCGCCAC